TGCTTGGGACCGAACAAATTGTTGCATTTAGAGGGGGATTGCACTTATGGGGGTTGCACTTATGGAGGTGTCACTGTAGTTTTCTCTTCATATCTGTTTCCTACTTTCTTTTGCTGTCAAGAAATGGTTCAGTCCCACTTCTCATTCGTCTCCCTATTACTTTACATTCGCCATTTAGATAATGCTTATGATAACCTACATATAGTCGAATTTTGTTGGTTTGAAAACAAAAAAGATACGGAAAAAACTAAAAGAAACCCTATTTCTATACAGTTTTACCGGGTAATAAGTAGTCAAACCTGTCTACAGATTAATTTTGAAAAAAGACGTATTTCACCAGAGAGAAACATTTCAGAAAAAGGACGTTGAGTGCAAAATTTTTGTTTTATTGTAAAAATCAGACTATCATAGTAAGCACCGAATCAAAAAACCCCTCGGATTATAATATTTCCAAATCACAAAATCACCACCACTGGGCACTCCAGCGCCCCAAGTTCCAAATATCGCGTTTCCACTCTTCCATCCGTTATAGTTAAACTTGTGACTCTCATATCTCTTGGTCAGGCTGACCGAATTGTTAACTGCAACGTGCCCATCAATGGTAAACGCACCAACTACATCTGTACCAGAGCCGTTGAGAAATTCGACGCCGCTTGGATCTTTCCGTGCAGTCATGTGGATTAGCATCAGGGCACCTTTGTTATCTGAATCAAAGTAATATCCTTCCCAACTTCCCTCATCCGACTGCCTTGTAATATTAGTCTTCTGTTTAATCAAGAAATTACCCATATTCGGCTTGACATCAGTACCCCACGTTCCAGAGAACAGTTCGCCATTATAGATGCCTTTATAACGCCGGGCCGCGTTGGCATTGGCATTGATGTACTGTTTGGTAAAGGCGATGACTTTCGATAAATTGTCATAGGTACCCTGAATAGAATAAGTCCCAATATTATCGCTTCCCTCGCCAACGATGTTAATCGGTCTGTCAGGGTTCGTACTCTCAAAGGACAATTTTACACCCGACAAGTTTGACTGGCTTCCTCTTTCAGTGCAGTAAAAGCCATACTCGCCATTCCACCGAGATGCTACAAGATTCGCTGTTAAAATATCGGCAGGCTGGTTGGTGGATATAGCTAGAGATAAAGCAGCAATTCAATTTAACCAGTTTCATCTCTTGCAAAGTAAAGCAAACTAGGTCGTTTTAAATAACACTTACCGACTGCCAATGGGTATTCACAACTCTCTACGTAATCGTATTCGTTCAAAAAGCTGTCAAATGACATAAAGAAAGAACCATCGTCAGTGAGAGAATAACCCAACTCTGGTATCGTATTATTCTGTTTATAAGGCGCCCATTCTTTGCTAGTATCTGACCACGGACCTACAAAGTGAAACAACCATTACAAGTCAATTGACAATTCACAAAAAGTGCTGTAGTGAGTAGTAATGCTTACCGTTCCATTCAGTCCCAGCCCATGGATTACGGACCTCGATCAATGGATAATCATGAAAATTAACAGCGCGAAGAAAACTATACATATGACCGGGGACTAGACCCATAATATCTTCACCATGACCGTTTGGCTTTGGAGGATGATGTTCAAAGCGAGCGCAGACAAATATAGTATCGAGATTCTTGGTGGAATTCTTGGCGGCAAGAAAAGCGTTCCAAAGTTGGTCCTTCGCTGTGGGATTTTGTTTCACTTGGGCGATCGTGTATTTATGATAGTTTATGCCTCCAAGACCCACAAGTGCTAAAAAGGTCAAGTTAAGAATTATTATTTTTACGGTTTTAATTTGTTTTTCGAGAAGGGAAAATGCAATAAATACCTGCTTGTCCCCATCCACCACTGATAGTTTCGTAGTCACCGTTGACTTTGGCAAATGCCTCTGCGAAAAAATTCATCGACGTTAGACTACTTGCGAATTAGCATGATGAATGACGTAACGGAAGAAGATTGCAAACCCACTTTCAAGAAGCGGAGCCCAGGTTTCATCTTGCTTGGATTTGCTACAAAACATGACAATCGTTGAGTATTGTGTATCCGATATACATTTCTATCAAATTTATAGTTTTAATTCAAAGTACCCGAACAACAATCTCGAATTGTCGTAGTAAAACATGTAATCATCAACTATAGTAGCAACCCAACCGTCTTTGTAGAATACAAAGCCATAAACCTATGTCAAATTTGTTTTAATAATCATCTCAAATTGTTAATTAATATGGAAATTTCCAATTCTATACCTTGGTTTGATCGTCGGCTACGACAGCAACTGATTGGACAAGGCCGGGAACATCAGCGACGGCAGCAATAACTGCGAGAAGCCAGCAATCTCCAAGGGCCCCTTTTCTTGATAAAATTATCACGCGTGAACAAGTTACGCGCGTAAAATGGGAAAAAACACGTATATGCGCAACCGACCTTGCGCAACATCACCCGGCGAAACTCCGTTGACGTAAAATTTCGATTGTGGATCTGTCTCACTAAGACGTTGGATGGTCCCGTATGTGTACGTATGAGATGGATCTTTCGTGGGGCTCACGTTATTCTGGTAAAGCGCAGCCCTAGGATATTTTCTAATATTCCATTCCTCGTCCGTAAACGGGCTTCCCTTTATCGCAGCAACTTTCTAAAAAGTTTGGAATAAATTTCGCGTACACATTATTCTTTGTTAGAAAGGTTGGATCAAAGTAAATAAAAAGAAATGAAAATGGGATAAACGTACGGCTTTAAGTTTGTTTACAGTTTCGTCACGCGTGGCTCCGAAAACAACGGTCTCTGTATCTTGTCGGTTCTTCCACTTGGTCTTGAGGACATCGTATGGTTGTGTCATTTCTGATAATGCTTGCTTACAATTTGTTAATAGATTGTTAAAATCAAAAGAAGAGTTTTGGGTTGATCCCGAAGCAACACACCGCCTTTTTTATATCTTTTGAAACGAGAAGGCTGTGCTGGATTTGATATTACACCATGTTTCAACAATCAGCGTTATGGAATCAATTGAACTGCGAGTCACTCGCATATCTCTTTCTGCATTTGGTGTGGCGGTGGAGATAGAAACGGTTGGGGGAACAAGAACCATACGAGTTTCCTAGAATATCCACTGTCGTGTCCTTTTTTTTTCTTCGATAAATATTTTTGGTTTCTTAAGATGTCCATTGCTGTGTTCTTGTCTTAATGTTCGATAAAGTAAGGTTAAAACAATTTACCAATTCTCTTTGGAACAACCAAAATAGGGTTAATTACACAGCATCAACAAAACACAATGGTTACCATATTATTAAAGGTCTTTGCATAATATTAACGCGCGCGCAATCAGCGGTTGGAAAACTTATTCATTCATTCATTCACAATTATTACATAGTCTATAGTAAGTGCTTATTATTCCAATATACAATCTTATAAACACTTTTCAGTCGGAGAAACTGCAATTGATCTTGCAGCGGAGGATTGTTCCGGTAGTACAGAATTGATAATATATTCCATAATAATAACTATAATCGAGTATTTTATCCGCCGTTTTTTCCGTCCATTCGCTGCTTTTACCGCGTTATTCAGTCATTCACAGCTTTTCCCGCTGATAAATTTCCAAATACAACCAATCACATAGTTGGATTTCAAATTATTCTGTACTACATGCAGATCACGGATAAATACTCGATTATATAATAAATGACGATCGAGCACAACAGGCATTAATCAGGAAGTTACCCAGGCAATCATTTCGTCTTCTTTCAAATTTATCCTTTTTAGGGAGATGGCTAAAGCGGGGGCAAATCACGTGGTTTTTACGGAATTTTTCGGAAGTATCGAAAGATTATTTGTGGCCGATT